TACCGACATCTGCCTCGGACCCGACGAATTTTCACCCTGACATACAATTTATTCTGCAGTCTGCACTACAAGCGATCACACAGCGCTCGTATAATACCAAATGGAAGCACTTCACCTCCTTTGCTGCTGCTAACCAATTTCTGCCTCAATCTGCTACCATAGAGAACATCCTACAATATCTACTCTCGTTACACTGTGGGGGTCTTAAACCTTCCTCCATTAAGGTGTATATTGCAGCTATCTCACGTCATCATAATCGAGGATGCATTGGAGGTTCCTCTGTATTACCTTGTGTGTCGATTTCTACGAGGACTGCAAAACCTTCAACCACTGACTCAGTTGGTCGTCCTGACATGGAGCCTCTCTATCATCCTACAGGCTCTCACTAAGCCTCCATTTGAACCACTAGCTACAATGGATCTCTGCCTTCTCACTTGGAAAACAGCATTTTCAGTAGCTATTGCATCGGCCAGAAGAGCCAGTGAACTGTGTGCCCTTTGTGTCGACCCTCCATATGTAAACTTCCACAAGGAGAAAGTAGTCCTGCACACCGATCCAACCTTCTTGCCCAAGGTTGGGACTCCTTTTCATCTTAATCGGGCCATTGTTCTACTGGCCTATTTCCCTGCTCCGTCGATACTGATTGAGCACTCTCTACACAGCCTGGACGTCCGTAGATGTTTAGCCTTCTATCAAACCTGAAAAGAGTCTTTCAGGAAAACCAAATGGCTTTTTGTTAAATACTCAGATCATGACAAGGGAACTCCTATTAGTATTCTAAGACTTTCGAAATGGATCATCGAGATGATTGAACTGGCTTATCGCCTTTCAAAACTGGACTTATGTGTTACTCCAAAAGGACACTCCACAAGAGCTGTCACTGCTTCTTCTGCCCTCCGTGCGGGCATCGCTTTGCAAGATACCTGCAAAGCAGCCACATGGTCTACTCCATGCACTTTTACAAAGCAATACCTCTTAGATGCCAGACAGGATTGCTCCTTTGGCCACGCCGTCCTCTCCACAGTTCTCAAGTGACAACACTGTCCCACCTCCGGGTGTGGTATAAGCTTATTAATCACTCATAATGCGTGATGCAGGGAGACCCCAGTGAAAAAGGGCTGGTTGCTTACCTGTAACTGTCTTTCTTCAAGTGGTCATCCATGCATTCACACAACCTGCCTACCGGCCCCACTTGGTGTCAGTGCCTGGGTATACTATATGACTGGGTATGTGTGTGTGTGTGTGTGTGTAGTTTGTATTTTGTTTCTATACTTTTTCTCCCTTATGAGCCAGGTTCAATACTGGCCAGCTCCACCTGGGGGTGAACGGATGGTTTTCAGTTGACTGAGGAAAGGGCGGGCACTCCTACCATTTATATTACGGGTGAGGGGAGGGGCGCAGAGTTCCTGCCAAAAACTGTTAAAGCTCTTTAATCTTTCCGGCAACAGGCACTGTGCAGGCGCAGTACCCATAATGTGTGATACACAGATGACCACTCAAAGAACAACAGTTACAGGTAAGCAACCTGCCTTTCTTTCTCCTCCCTTCCTCTTTCTTGTCCTTCTTTCTAACCAGCTCTTCCACTGTCCTTTCAGGAATTCTATCTTGTCAGCTACCTCCTTCCTTGCTCTCCTGTCTTCCTTTTATTATTCCCCCTTATCTCCATCTCCTCACATCATTTCAGGCAATGCTCATTTTGGCTGGTGGAGCAAGCCACATAGAAGCAATAACAGCTGAAAGCATCAGTTTGAGCATTCCTGTTTGTATTTGTCCTGCCTTTGCCATGCTGAATGGCATGAGATTCCCAGGAAATCCCAGGAAGAATCAACTTATACCACCAAACACTTGAGAGATGCTTAGTAATGGGCAGCAAACCCATCTGTTCCCTCATGCTAGAGTTGATGGGAGTTGCAGTCCCACAACTGCTCCAAGGTTTTAAGCTTGGTAGGAATATTAGGTATAATACAAAATTCTGGCTGCATGAGCAGTTATCAAATTGTATTATGGGTAACTCCCTAAAATGGAATTGTAGAACTGATTATATTTTGTATTTTACTTAATGGCCTAGGAAACTGGAGTCTATTCAGTATGTGAAAAATGAAGATCTAGTTAGGTTTTTAAGTCTACCTGTATACCCAGAAGAAAATACTAAGCATATGATACAAATTTTAGCACAGTTACACAGGTAAATGTCTTAAAATTGAAAGCTCTGTAGCTATAACATGACCACTTGTATTGCAAAAGATAGGACTTATTCTCAGACTTCTTAAAAATGTGAAGAATTAATTCAGTGGAGCATGAAACAACTTCTCAGCAAATGGAAATAAGTTTACAGTGTGTGATTTTCATGCCGCTATTCTTAGGTTATCAGATAATGTGTTTCTTTTCAGTGATTATTATACAAGTTCATAGTTAGGCCTTTTCTGGCAATATGAATGTCAGTGTGGCTTTCAAATCAATATAGACTATGTTGGGTTGTATATTTATCAGTACATTGCTATTAAAAGACACACTTATAATGCTAATACTGGCAAACATTTAAAATAGCTTAAAAAGATTTCAGGGAAGGGAGGAGCCAGGGAGAATTCATCTTCCCTCTCCTGCCCTCCCACCCAAATGTGGAATTGAGAATAGGTATTTAGGAGAGAAGAACTGAACCTTGACTGTAGAAAAGAACTAATATTTGTTACTGATTTATTTCATGTATATCTCACTTTTCTTCGAAGAAACTCAAGGCAGAATATGTGGTCCTTCACATTTTTATCCTAACAACAACCCTATGATGTAGGGTTGGGCTGAAAGTTGATTTGATGACTAGTTCAAGGTCATCCAGAGAATGTTACGACTAGTGGGAATTTGAACTTCTCACTTCCAAGTCCCAGTTGAACACTCTAACTTCTACACCGCATTCGCTCTTTGTGTCAATGAAAATGAATGAGAAAGAACAACAAACATTTATCCTGAAGATAGAAGGAAAATTGTGCCAAAATCTGAAACTTTAAGTGCAAATTCATAGATAATACATAGATGAAATTAGGATGCTGATGATCTTCTCCTCAGGATGTTCTTAGTTCTCTTTCCTTAAACAGAATTAGTTATATTCTCCCTGCTTTTTCCTACCAGATTACTTCTTTAATCTTAAATATTCTGATAAAACAGTTTCTGCTTTCCCTTTCCCAATTCTTTCTCTCATTTTTGCTTTTAGCTAAATCTGTTTTTTCCCTGATTGCTCAAGCTCATAACATTTCCCCCCACCACCCTCTTAATTGCTAAATTTTGGGTTTTTTTTCCATCTCTAATATTTCCAAAATGTGTCCTTTTTCTCTTTGAAAACTATTTTTCTAATGCACTCAACCTTGTAAGATTCTTGCTTGGCCTTTCTTCTTTTTCTTCCAAATTTCTTCTTGTTGGAATTCTTTTCCTTTCAGAATCTGTCCCCACTTATTATGGTGACCATTTTCTTCTCTTTTCTGCTCTCGACAGTAGTTTTCTCTTCTTGTATTCTATTAAACTTTACTTTTGAAAAAGATTTTCATTCACTTGCTCCTGCTAATCTGCTTTTCTTTCTATCTGTGCTACCTTTGTGTTCTCTTCATAAGTCTGGTGTCTTTTTCTAAAATCCCAGGATTACAGTTTCCATTCCTTGATTCTTCTTCCTGGACTCTGAGACTCAGGTTTGGGTTATGCACCTGTGCAGAACAGTCTTTGGAACGTTCTGGTGCTAAGCAGAGCTTTTTGGCAAGAGTCCAAACATGTGAACAGAAAAGTAATTCCAGTCAGGTTTGCTATTTTCATTAACCCCTCCTCTTATACTTAATGGCATCTCACACCACTCCCTAAGGTTTCTAGCCTCAAGCCTGAATTTTCAGGGGTACCCTTGGGGAATATGAAAAGCTCTGTTCCACAAGAACACTGCTTTTCATTCTTTGGCTTTAGGTCTAAGATTGTAAGTCTAAGAGAGAGATGGGCATTTTATGCAAGTTGCTTAGTTGTTATAAGTGCTTTAGAAATAACAATAGACAAAAATATTTCTTGTTTCACTTCAGTGGTCAGCGGTTCTTCCTAGACCAGTGTAGGTGCACATCTTTCCAAATGTGCAGAATTCAGGCAGATAGATGATAAGAGGTAATCCACACTGATCTAGTGCCAGTTATGGATAGATAATATTTGTGACTATAGTAGGCCTTAGTAGATACTGGTTAATTAAATGTTCCTGTAATATGTTTATGCACATTTATTTTGTAGCGCATTGAACAGTATCTTTGATGAAACCAGGACTGGGGACAGAACTATAGAAATTCTTGATACGGTTACAGCTTGTTATTAATAATTATCACCTTATTCTGTAGGTACCATATTCTGTTTTACCATGTATTGGAAAAATTATTTGTACACGATCTGCTTATTAAATGTAGGGCATTTGTGCATTTTGTATCTTGGACACCTATCTTTTTATTGGATCCAAAATTTACTGTAGAGCCTGAAATGTAATGTTCAGCTTTCATGTATAGTTCAAGGAGCAACTCTCCTTAGTGAAGGAGAGATTGGTCATAAAAAAAGAAGCAAAGACTCATTATTCTTTATTTCAAAAAACAAATTTGAAAATGTTTTGCTGGCTTACTCCTGATCGCTAATTGACTATAGCATGGATAACAGAAAATGAATCCCATCTTTATAGCAATACACTTGAAGACTTCAGGATTTCTTCCATTAGTGAATGGGGTTGCTCTCGCCTGTTCTTCTTACTGTTTGTCCTAAGGGTTAGTATTTGTGTTAAATGTTTAGTGAATAAGAAATCTGATGTGCATTCAAATAGATGTTGCAGGAGAAAAGATGCATTTTCATTACTGTAATCTGTGAAAAATCTTTAGGAAATTCAAATTGCCTCCTCACCCTTTCCCTCTTCACCCTTTCTTATCTTTCCATTCTCACTCTTTCTTCTTCATTCCCCCCTCACCCATTCTTACTTTCATAATGCGCAATGTTCTTTGTTTATTTAGGTGAACATGGAGCCTACTTTTCAACAAATGTTCTTAAAACAAGTTACAGTAGAAGGCAACAAGCTCCTGATATAGAACAGCAATAGCTATAGCACAGGAGGCAACATTCAAGTATCATAGTTATAAAAGGCTGTTAAGAAGAGAGAGGTAACTGAACTTGTTAGATGACTTTGGAGTTGGGGTAGTGGGGACAACTGAAGATGGTTCTGCTGTGGTTTTAGTCCTGAATAATGCCTAGCATGGAACTTGTCATGTTGCCTACCGTGATCTCAAGATCTCCTTCCTAGTTAGCCATTGCCATTTCAGACTGTATCAGCACATATTTGAACAGAGGGGATTTTGCCCAAGATGAATTATTTCATATTTATATTGAACCACATTTGCTGTTTTGCTACCAGTTCAGAGTATTTGGAGAAATTATTTTGCTATTCCCTGTAGATCATTCTTGTTCTTCCCAACCTAATCAGTTTCACATCCTGAAACATGACCATCTCACTGCTGACCCTTAACTATAGTTTCTGAACAAGCACTATGTACTGATCTAAATATATAACATTAGAAGATCCCAGTTCTAACTTCCATTTGCAGTGTGTGAACTGTCCATTCCTACTCTCTGCTTTCTATACTTTAATCAGACAATAATGCATGAAAGCATATATTGCTGGAACATGTAGTGGCTTTTCAACTCCAGGGATCCATTTGAATAATGCAACTTTTGGAATTACTGGTATATTCATGGCACTCTCGCCATTTAAACCCAAGGAACCTGGTCCGGTTCTAATACTGATGTCAGTAATGCACTAGATAGGGGCAAACAAATTGAAGGTTTAATTCAGATAAGACAGAGGTGTTTCAAGTCAGTAGAAAACAGATCCTGGAATAGGAATTTAACCTGTGCTGGTTGAGGTTACAGCACTTGAGGACTCAGGCTCACAGTTGGGGTATACTCCTGAACTTAGGTCTGAACCTGGATGCCCTGGTCTCACTTCTGGCCAGGACTGTATTTACACAGCTAAAACTTAGTGCAGTGCCTGCTCCTGCTGATGTCTAATCTGACCACAGTCACCCATTCCTTAATAATATCTGCTTGGAGTACTATAATATGCTCTACATGTGGCTGCATTTGAAAACTGCTCAGGTAGTTAAGCTTGTCCAGAAGATGATGTCCAGATTGTTGACTCTGGCCAGTTACTGGGACCGCATGACTTTTAACAACAGTATTACTGGTTACTGGTGTGTCTCTGCGCAGAATTCAAAGTAGTGACCATGGCCTATAAAGTGCTGAAAGGCTTGGGACTAGGCTACCTGAAAGACCACCTTCTTCCACACAAATATGTGCATTCTTAAGATCTTCTAGAAAAGCTCTTTTAAGGCTACCACTTTCAAAATACATTTGGTGAAAATGGAAAAGAGCTTTTTGGTAGCAACTCCTAGACTGGAACTTCCTCCTAAGGGGAGACTAGGTGTGCTCTTTCTTTATTGCCCTTTCACTGTTGGGTCTTTGGCTTGTGAGTAGGTTTGGGAGGTGCTGCCTTATTCTGTAATTGCTATGTTTTTGCTTTAGTTTAATGCAAGTTTAGGCTAATAGATTGTATAGAAATGAAAATGAATAATGTATTGTTTTAATCTATTTTAATTGTTTTTGCAAGCTGCCCTGAGTGCCAGTTTTGGTAGAAAGGTGAGGTATGATATTTTGTGATTGCTATGCTTGCGCAAGAGTCTTTAGTGAGGGACTTTGTCAGAAGTTTTTCAAAATCCAAGTAAGCAATATAAGCTTCAGGATGTTTTTAACAGCAGACCTAGAACAGAAAACTGTATGTGATTAAATATATTAACAAATTATCATTTTGATTTATAAAGTTGGATATTATGAAAAGCAACTGCTGCACCTTTATGCATATAAATCTCTTGCTCCTCTTTGGGTGGGTCCTAACAGAATATGCTAATATGCTCCTGTTGTATGCAAGTAGGCACTGCCAGCAAAGCCTTTTCTCAGAGGACTAAGCTAGGAATTTGAAAAGTAGGTGTATATATGTGTCCACACACACACACACACACAGAGAGAGAGAGAGAGAGAGAGAGAGGGAGAGAGAGAGAAGATCTGCAAAAAATGGACACTTACTGCTACTTTTATCAATGTTTAATAATAAGGAAGATTAATATATGTTTCCAGGTTAACAATATTTTTCCTTTGTCACCTTTGCTCCAGAATCACCTTTGGACTACTTCAGATGACTGTCTTTCTCTCAGAAATGCATGTTTGGTCATTGAAGACCACCTTATGTGTAGAAGGTAAATCAGATGTTAGTAATTTTCTGGTTTTTAAATCTAAGAAATTTATCAAGTCATGTCAGTATCTAACCTCATTTAACATATGATATATTGCACTTTTCAGATTCTGCAAAAGCCTTCTCTTTGCTCTGCACCCACACAGTGCTACTGCTTATTTCTTGACTTTCTAAGTAAACAAACAAAAATGCTAATGCTTGCTCTGCAATGAATTTTCAGTAGCTTAAGTTGCAGGATGGAAAGAAATTATTTCCAAAGGGCAGTACTATGTTTCTGCAGAACCCAGGGCTGTAAAATGCTATCACTGGTTTTTCTCAAGCTTCATTCAGAAAAGGGTACAGGAAGGAAGATGCCTGTATTGTACAAATACCAAGCAATTCTGTGTCTCATTGCCTGTCCCTAATTTACTGCGCTGGATACCCTTAGCTGCACAATGCTTGCTTTCCTCTCTTGGAATAGTGACCTGGAGTGTAACTGCATATGAAACTCCCAGCCATGCATTTCTATCCAGTAAATACGTAAATAGCCTTGCAAATGTGCCAAAGAAAGACTTAGCTTTTTATTATGTGCAGGGAGACTTCCTACACCCTTATACAGAATGTCAGAATCTCCATTTAGTATACATATGACTGTATACATTAAGTTAAGTTTGTTTATTCCTGCTCGGGCCATGGAATATTCACAAAAAAGTCAGGCAAATATACTTAAAACTGGAATACTTTTTATTTATTATTTAAGAATCATTTTAGTTAATCTAAAATCCATGTTAATGTCAATAATTTTAATCTAAAGATTAAGGCAGCTATCCCAGAGCATTCAACCATTTTATCAATAATAAATTTTGCATATACTTCTTGATCCCAGCAAAGCAAAGAGAAAAACTATGTAAGTTACAGTAAAATCTGAACCAGACCTAAGATAAAAAATATTCTCTGGGATGGTATTATCATACAGGTACAAAAAATAAAACTTGGATAAATTTAGATCTTCGGACTCTAACATGCCACAGGTACATAGACATTGAGATAAGGAAATTTTACTTCCTGACATCAATCATGAGTGTTGGCATAATTTGAAAACAGAGGTGTGAAAGCTTGCTTCACATTTTAAATATGTGAGCTTTGTCAAATAAGCAGCTCTTTGTTGATTGTATTTATAAAGCCTGCACCATTTTGAGAATTTTGAATTATTAATTGCCTTTCTATCCCAAGTAACTCTGTGACTAAAATACTTTTGCAAAGTCTCTCTTTGGAAGTTAAAAGTGGAAAATACATCAATTGAAGTAACCTATGATTGGAGCAAATTACATTATCTTAAGCTCCAAGATTTAGTATTCAATTTAGGCAAACCCCTAACAGAAGAATCTTTTAAAATTCTCCAGTAATCAGAGAATGATGAATATGGGCTTTTATAGAAGGAAACCTGACCTCTGCCCTATCAAGGCAGCAGGTATGCCAGAAGGTAAAATTTACAAATTTAAGAGGTTTTTTTGGGGGGGGCGGGTGGGGAGATGACCTCCAATCTAGCAGTTAAAGATTCATCCCAATCCCGAACTTGAGCACCACTTTATTTTAGTTAGCTAAAAAATAGAGTCAATCAATGATTGATTGTATTTTGACCTTTCTTAAAACCATCTTGTTTGGAATGGATAATATAGGTAGAAGACTCCCAGTCCTCCAAATTATTTAATAAAATTTTGCTGTATAACTTGGAGTCAATTTCCAAAAGAGTTACTAGTTAATACATATTGCTATTTGAATCCTTCTTTTCCCCTTCATATATATAGAAACAATAATGCTGTGTTTTCAGTCAGCCAAAAATATAATTGCGCAATGCATTTGACCAAACAATATAGCACACCAATTGTGAAAGTATTTCATATTTCTTAGGGCATCATATTTTTCCTAGGGCCTTGCCCAGTGTTCAAGCTATTATAAAGATGAAACAAAGTTATTTATTTCAGTGACAGAAATGGGGCACTGCATACATTAAATCTCAATTCTATCATGCAGTAGTTTACAGACTTTTACCACCAAGAAGTATGTTTGATTTCAAGTGCCAAAGTAATTCAATAATTATGTTTCCATCATTATGTAGACAAAGACATTGGGATCTATCATTATTATGACAAGAAGGAACCAGGTAACGTACAAATGTTTTATAATGATAAAATGTGTATATACCCTTGAAAAATCAGCATTTCAGATGTTTTAGCTCTCAGATCGAAATAGATATATTTTATATATCTTAATATAAATATCTTAACCTTCTTCATTAAGTCTAGTAAAATTTTACAAATCATTGGTCGCAAATATGAGTAACAACTACATTTTATGTCATCAGAAGTGGAAGAATCAGTGTAACCTGAAAATTGCATAATACCTAATAGAGCCTTAAGGTGCAAACCTATACAAGTTTAGACAGGAAAAGAAAACTTTAAAATCCCAGCAGCTGGGTCATCCTGGGAATTATAAGCCCCTTTTCTGTCTAAACTTGCATAGAATTGTGCCATAATGTATTGAAACTTGTGCTACCTCTTAAACCCCATCTTAAGATTCTGACCATGAAGATTTTATGGTTGAAGCAGAAGGTAAATCTCCCCCACCACTCACTTCCCACTTTTTGTAATATGTTGCCTCATGAAAAGATCTTGATATCTCAAAAATTTACTTGGAATGTTACACATTTTTAGTTTTAAAACTAAAAATCCCAATTGGATTTTTTTTTGCTTAAAGAGCAACATGTCTTACTGTGATCTATGAATATGTTCTCTGTGCAGCCTGAATTTCTCTGCAATTAATTATAACTAAACCATTGGTTTAAATTATTTTTAAGTACTGAATCAACAGAGATGGTTTATACATTAAAATGTTAACCTCCTTCTGTGAAAATATGTTTTAAATGTAATGTGATATTTTAGATTGATACTGGGTATTCCAGCTATCTTATCTTTTGGAGTTCCAGCAGAGGGCATTGTAAATTCACAAGAGTGCATTGGTGTCTGCTTCCTGGAACCTCCTTACCTGATATTTGAAATAGGCATTTCAGAGTGAATGATCAATTTTCTTTATCAGATTAATCCTTTTAATCCTGGAAGCTTCAGGATGGACCAAAAGGTCTTTTCAGCTAGAATTACTTCCTGTTTTAGTCCAGGTTAAAGTGGTAACTTGTGTGGGCATCCCAAACTGCTTCCACAAGTTTGATGACAGTAATTCAGCTTCTGGTTTGGTTATAGTTGCAGATGCAGTTCACTATCAGCTTAGACAAAAACCAGGGTTATATAGGCCTGTCTTCTAGGATTGTTTAAACTTTTACTTCACAACAAAATTAATCTGTCCAGGATAGGAATGCATTTAAACTTTTCCCCTACTAAATATATTTCAAAAATATAAAATAATAATTCAAGTTTATTAAGTTTTCTTATTTTTTTCTTCTTTTAGATACACAAGTGAACTTTGGCTACTTATGTCAGAAGCAGCAGTTAGCAGAATGTAAGGGCTGTTTTCAGTTTCCTTGATACTGTAAATGAATTAACTTTAGGCATAAATCACTTCTTCACAAATGATCTGGAATTAGGGATGAGGAGTGAAGTGGTCACATTTTCAATGACCCCAAACTTTTTAGACTAGTTAAAACAGAAACAGATTATGAAGAGCCCCTAAAATATCTCTCCAAACTTGGAAATGGTAATTAAAATAGCAAATATGGTTCAGTGTAGGCATGTGTAAAGTGAGGTATATTGTAGCAAAAAACCCCCAACTTCACATATATGTTAATGGAGTCTGAGCAGTGACTGACCAAGAAAGAGTTTGGAATTATGGTAGAAAGCTTAATGAAAATGTCAGCCCATTGTATGGCTGATGTGGAACAGGCAAATTTCATGGTGAATCTAATTAAGAAAGAAAAATAAAACTGCCAGTATAACACTATTCTTATACAAATCTGTGCTGCAACCATGTTGCAGTTCTGGTCACTGCATCTTGAAAAGCTGGAAAAATGCAGAAAGGCAACTAAAATATTAAAGGGACTAGAGCAGCTCCCCATCAGGAAGGAAGAGAAGCAAAGGGCAACATAGTAAAGATGTATATCATTTTGCATTGTGTGCAAAATGGGGATACAGATACTTTTTTCCTTTACAGAACCCAGAATAATCTAATGAAGTACAGTTGTGGAAGATGAGGGGACAGTTCTTAACATGCTGCATGATGAATGTGTGGAAATGGCTGCCACAGGCTGTAATGATGGACATCATTTTGGATAGCTTTAAAAGGGATTAGTCAAATTCATGGAGAATAAGGGTACCAGTAGCTGCTACTCCAGATAGCTACTTCAATATTACCTCCATATTGGAAACAGAGGTGAGAGGGTTTTCATAGGCAACTGGATGGTCACTGTGTGAACAGAATACTGGACCAGTCAGGTCTCTGGCCTGATTCAGCATAGCTCTTTGTCTAGTTTTTCCTTTAGCATTAAAAAATCAATAGTTTCCAGTCTTATTCATTTCATTTCTATGCCGCCCCGTAACCTGAAGGTTCTCTGGAACAGAGGAGTGGCTTGGGAGAAAAGGGGCAGTGTAACTTTTTACTTTTGCCTGTTTTTTTCTGTTCAGTATCACTTTCACAGGATGAAATCTTTCTGAAGTGGGAAAGGTATAGATATCTATAGCATTATCCTTGCAAGGAGAAATGTAACTGGTAGGAAGATACTGCTAGGTAGAAGCAATACTGGCATGGAAAGGATTAAAGAGACTCTGCTCGAATCACTGAAGATTGCAGTCTCCATACTGCTTTTGGTAAATGACTGGGGGGAAAACTACACGTGACTGAGCATCATGGCAAAGACTTAACATTGTTAAGAAATAACTTAAAATTAAAAGGTATTTAACTTAATAAATCACTTCAGTGCACATTCATATGCTTAGATCCAGACTTTGATAATCATGTCCCATTGATTTCAGTAGGATTAAAGTCATAGCTAATTTTATTAGAATCTAATTCATAATCTGAGATCACACAAGTAATACACAAATTTGCTTAAAAATTAACTTGAATGTATTTATTATTTGCATATTGCATATACTGGCTCATAGGGTGCAGGTGGCGCGGTGGTTTAAACTGCTGAGCCGCTGGGCTGGTTGATCGAAAGGTCGACAGTTCAAATCCGCAGACGGGGTGAGCTCCCATTCTCTGTCCCAGCTCCTGCCCACCTTGCAGTTCGAAAGCATGCAAATGCAAGTAGATAAAAAGGAACCACTCCGGTGGGAAGATGACAGCATTTCATGCACTTCAGTGTTTAGTCATGCCAGCCACATGACCACGGAGACTGTCTGCGGACAAACGCTGGCTCCCTGGGCTAGGAAACGGAGATGAGCACCGCCCCCTAGAGTCAGACATGACTGGACTTAACGTGAAGGGAAAACCTTTACCTTTACCTAGGTTTGGCTATTTCTTTCTGTCAAGTGGAAGCCATAATATAAGATATAACATTGGGAAGAGTATGGAGGTAGAGGTGGCCTTGCTGCTGCTCTTGCTGTGCAGAAGTCTTACCTGATTTTGGCTAGCCAAGTGCAGTACTCAAAGTGGGAGGGAAGGAGGGAGAGGCATTGCTGGTTTCCTCCTTTCCCTGCCCCGCTCCAGTGTCCCCAGAAGCCCTTCTCCAAGGTCACTGTTAGTTCCTCAGAAAAGCAATCAGCTTGGTTGTAGGGGAGGGCAGGATCTGAGTGTGGTTGAGGCAATTTTCTGATCTTACAACTGGAAAGGACACTGTCTGGTAGCCATAGGATTGTGCTGTGAGTGAGAACTAACCTACTTTAAGGAAGACAGTCTGGATTATAAATAAGTGTGAAGGATAATATTTATAATGTATTGGAACAACACAGTTCAGGATCATGTTCATCCTTGGATGTTTCATTGTTTTAAATATTTGTTTTATATTAAAAATACTAATTGAAGTAAATTCTAATGTTGGTTACAGTTACTTAGCATTTATATGCTTCCCATGTTTTTTTATTTGCTAGCTCGAGATTATCCTTGGGTACTTAAGAACAAACGTCCAGAAAAGCTGCGTGACACACTTAAGGAGTTGGAGGTATTTTTCAGAAAATTTCAGGCATAGTAACAATTAATCCAGGTTTTCAGATCTCTTTCAACAGCTTTAATTTTCATCAAAGTTCATTGCTTCTGGTGGTAAATATGCTTTTGTATGGTGGACTATCCAAAACAGTTGCATCTTTGTTTAGATTGTCAGACAGTTTCTCCTTGAAAATCAGAAGCACTTTAGCTGTAAGTGAAATGTGTACAGCTATTTACACACTGTTTTCTGTTGTATTCTAGGAACTCATGCAAAACAGTCAGTGTGTGTTGAGCAGATGGAAGAACAAATATGTCTGTCAGGTAAATGTTTTGACATGCTCTTGCAGTGTTCAGTGATCAGAGCTGAACAATTGTTCAATGATTGATGTAGAGGGACGAAGTTAACTGGTAGGGAAACATGCAGCTGGAGTGGTTCTGTAAGATCATTTTTTAATGCCATGTTTATTTTAGCAAGAAAAACATGCAAGACCCTGCTAAAATCTTTCTTGGTAGAAACAGCTATATTCAAACAGGAAGACAATTGTGTAGAAGCATTGTATTTTCATTTAAACTGTTCAGAATATTGGGGTTGCATTTCTATGCACACCTAACTGGAAGTAACTTCAATTGAACTCAGTGGTGCTTACCTTTGAGTAGACATGCCTAGGATAGCCTATGAAAACACTTGCTTACAAATGTACATCATGGTGACAGAAACTGTACACTAATTACCCAACTAGATTAATTGTCAAGTGAAGTAAACTGCAGAGAGGCCATTGTAGGCATGCATCTGTATTCTGTATCTACATAAATATCCATATAATGTATAAAGAAAGCATCTGCTTGCATCCTTGTTAGCAGCATCGAAAGTGTGAACAGGTTGGCATCTTACAGTGTGTGATTCAGCATTCTAATCAACAGCTTTTTCTTGAATTATGTTTCATGTATTTGACTCATTAAAAGTTATTTCTAGCTTTTTATCCTTGATGTTGAACAGGAATATCCTGAAGTGTACCACAGCTTTACAAAGTGCCAGGGACTTTGAAGAATATTATTAATATTTACCCTAAATTTCTACAAGCAGCAAGTGCAAGCCCTATTGTAAATGAATCAAATTCTCCATAGCTGTACATTTTGAAATGAACATTTCTCTACTGAACTCTGATAATATTTAGTCTTACCTTTCAACATGAATTCTTTTAGTTGGAAAAGTACAAGTCAACAATAAGATGATACTGTTTCACAATCACTAAGCTACAGTCCTATGCATATTTACTATGAGTAAACCCCACTGAACACAGTGAGACATACTTCTGAATAAACATGTGCAGGATTATACTGTTAAGAGTTTAAAATACTCCTGAACAAGATACAGAGTTTGTTGTAGGAAGGGAACCTGAAGGGCTAAGGCTGTAATCCCTACACTCATCTGGTAGTATGCCCCATCACACTCACTAAAACTTACTGCCTGAGTAGGCATTTCTAGCAATGCTGTGTATCAGATAGTTAAGAGATCAGGTTTTAGAACTAAGTGACAAATTAAACACACTCTCTTAAATTATTCAGATGCGAAGTGGACTAATGACTAAAACTGACCCTCCTTATTGGTTAATTAAAAAGAAGACAACTTTTAAGAATGAAAAGAGGATATTTCGAATGACAGTACACTGAGCCTAACTTCTGTCAAAGAAAATTGTTAGAATGATGGACCTACAATTATTAAACAAAAAAAAAATTAAAATTAGTTGAACACCTCATGCATATAGAAGTGAGCCATTTGATGTTCTGAGAAGCTTCTGACAAGAACCAGTCAACAAAACCTACTAAGCTAACAAGTAGTTATAGCATAGGGCATGGGTCCTCAAACTGCGGCCTGGGGGCGGATCTGGCCCGCCATGGCCATTTATCCAGCCCGCTTCAGGGGTTTGCCATGTGTGCCCACTGCCACCCGCCTCGCGCCCCCCCCCCCATGTGGGGAGGCAGCAGCTTGCTTGCGAAGAGATCGTTTTGGACTAGCTCAGAGAAAACGATGGCCAAGCGAGGAAGCCACTGCATTGCACGCCCGCCACTGTATTGAGGCACATACCCGCCCCCACCTTGCCTCACTTCGCCTCACCTGCATGCCCCACCAGCACCACCTTTCCGGTCCGTGCCCAGCACAGGCACCTTTCAACTGGCCCTCTGGTGGAAAAGTTTGAGGATCCCTCCCATAGGGGGATGTGTCTTTTTATGGACTTGTAACTGACTGAAGATCTGAAAAGGAATAAATGGACAGAGGAAAATAAGCAGTTTCCCTTGAGACCATTGCTATTTAACCTGACTGTTAAAAACATGCTACTTTGCTCGCCCGCCCCTTGAGATCAGCAGGAGAGGCCCTTCTCCGGGAACCCTCCGTGAAGGATATTAGGAGGGTAAGTACTCGGAGGAGGGCCTTCTCTGCAGTGGCGCCCCACCTATGGAATGCGCTCCCCAGAGAGGTCCGCCTGGCGCCATCGTTATTTTTCGGCGCCAGGCGAAGACCTTTTTATTCAAATGCTATTTTAATTGTTGATATTATTTATTTATTTTATTTTTCGGGCCAGGTTGACTCATATTCTTTTATACTGCTCTTATTTATTTATTATTGTGAGCCACCCTGAGGCTTCTGCGAATGGGGCAGCATAGAAGCCTTCCAAACAAACAAACAAACAAACGTTTTGAACACCACCAACTTATTTAAAACCCTGGTTGGGATTCTGGGATGTGCCACATTCTGCTGAGGTTCTTAATGAGGAGAGAGATCCATAAAAGAGGGAGAAGGAAGGCTAAGAGGCCCATCAGAACTTCACAACCTTGCTGTGAAGTTAAATAACTTGTTTTATTGTCAGCTTAACAAGATTCTTATTAAAAATGTTCCTTCAAAGAGTAGCCATAGCCCAGTTGTAGGTGCTGTGCTACAAACCCTTGATCCCAAAGAGTGCCAAAGGGATACTGGAAATTTTTTTTTTTTCTAATGCCTCATCTGGGACTGAGGTCATAGATTGACAATGTGACAAAATGTTGAAGGCTAGAGAGAGCGAAAATGATAACAGTACTTGGATCATCCAGTTCTACCCCGTACACACCATTGTGGGAGATGACTATGCACATAAAATTACAAGACACTAACATGTTAAACTTTGGAGAGATTAAGGCATACAGAGGTTTTGAGTATTTCTTGTGTGGTGAACAAGTCCCACTGAACTAGATAGCATTTGGCTGCTTCAGCTTTTAGTACCTAGTTGAAGTGCTCTGGTTTGAACATGCATATAACCATAAAGAATTCAATATATGCAATTTATTTCACAAGTGCCAGTTAACAAAATTAAACATGTACTTTCCAGGTATCCCGAATGTCAACATTTTTACTTTGGTATTTATATATTCATTTTCTTGCATACAAATTTACTTATGTTTGCGTAGTTAGGACTTGCTTATCAAGTAATATGCACAACCATTTGTGCTGATGTGGCTGTCAAATTGAGCAGTAGGACGAGTATGAACAAGTGATATTTTGGCTATGCAATTTATGTATTAACAAATGACATCAATGATGAAATCAAGACAATTCAGTAGAATCAATTTCAGTGTGTGCCACCAATAGGTAATTCTAATGTTACTAATGGTATTTTATCTAATAGTATTTTAGCTTGTAACCGTACCATACTTTACCCTGGACAATTTCCTTTATTTCATTTTGGTGAGGGCTTGTTCAAGAGGTAGCACTCAAGGGATTGCATTTATAGAATGTAAATACATTTCCATCCAATATTATGAAATAAATGCAAATAGAAAGGACTGAGAAAGTCTAACAATAAAGGCAGTGTGGTTTGAAGGGGATGAATAAGATACTAAAGGGAATGGATAAAAACTTGGTGAACCTGCTTGGATCAGAATTTCTTTACAGTTGTTCTGTTCTTATTTGCATGTGTCTTGTGTTTCCTTGATGGTGTAAACAGAATATTTTAAAAAATTTTGAGGCTATTTCTTTGGTTAAGATAATGTTCATGCTACCTACAGTTTTACTTGCACAAAAATATTCTTGTAATTCTACTTGTCCTTCATGTAGATGGATCTAAAATTGAACCCCTTTGTTAAACTAGCAATTGCTAAAACTATTTTAGTACATCATTCTGTTTTTATTTGAATTCATTTCTCCCTCCCTCCCTCCCTCCCTTCTTCAGTATTTGACTTCTAGGCACCATGTTAGTGTGACTTGTTAATACAATAAAGGATGTTAAGGAGAAACATGTTTAGCAGAAAAAAGGCCTACAACCTCCTGCCTACAACCCTAATACCAACCCCATGGTGGTAGGGGTGTGCTGGAAATTGCAGGGCATGATTTCTGTCTAAACCTGTGTAGGTTTGTGCTCTAAATGTTGTTTATGTTTAACTCCATTAATAGCTATCACCTGCCATCACATCTATGCACACTTTAAAGTCTTCTTTTCTGTGACTTAACAGATTAACAGTGAGATCCTACTCTTATTCCTATTGGGAGCCATTCTAGACAGTGTTGTGTGTAAAAGCAAGGCCCACAGCAACAGTGACCAGTTGTTCTTGTGTGGGGCTTCCATTTCCTTCTTTCATTCTGAATTCCTATACTTCTCAGGCTGCCAGACAGAATTGAAACAGATGCAGTAGTACCTTGCATGGATATGCAGTTTTCTAAGGAACAGGTTTCAGGCATCAACCCCACAATGTAGAATTTTTATATTCTTGTGGTTGTTATCAGAACTCAGTTCACTACTAATTCTGTTCAGAAAAGCTGAAACTGTTTCAACTGCCTTACTGTACTCATAATGGTTGCTGGAGAACATCTCCTCCAATTCTTGCTTGTCTCAGATGTCTTCTGGATGGAGCATAGAAAGGATTGGGCATTGTAGACTGATAGCATAAAGGTCTGTTTCTTCTCCCATAGACTTGCTACTGGATCAAGCACCAAGTTGCACAGGAGAGCAGATTGATGTCCTCTGCATTCTTCCTTTCTGTTGCTGCTTGCATGATGAATCAATTGATGTTACTGCCATGAGGTGTGGTGGTGCTGCTGGTGGTGATGGGCAAATGGATAACTAGAAAATGTCTGGAAAATGATCAGATGATTCCAGCAATCAAACCAGTGTTCATGAAGAAGCTGTGTCTGATGGCATGAGCACACTGTACAGTTATCTAAATAAGACTGTTAGTGCATGTGTTGATTGCTCTGATTGGCTGATTAATTAACTCGTTTCAAGTGCATGCATGTGTAATTCTTTGATGTTCTTTCTCCAGGGAGTCCATAGCCATGACTCAAACTTGGGTCT